TTAAGAAAATAAGCTCAGAATTGCCAGTAATTTTTAAATGCCATGGAGCCACATTAAGTTTACCAGTAATTAATAATAAACATTGTTCATTGACATTTCGTAAGATTACTTTTGGATTATTAAGCATTAGGAAGTACACACCTCTGCTATATGTAGTCACTACCTATATGTTCTTAACTGATAGTAATGTGTATGAACTAGCAAGCCTAGTTTTTATGTGATATGTATCTGGAATGATGAGTGGTGTATAGCCACATCTTCAGGATAATGTGTGTATTTCATATGTAGGAAGTCTTCATTCTCTGTAAATGATTGTTACTCAGAAGAGCTTTGAGATCCTTTAAAATTAGTGGCTAATATTTCCTAGTAAATATGGAAAAGTTCAGTTGATGCTTTATGTTGGAAATGAAACTTAAGAGTTTTATTTTTTTAACAAGGTAAATTACAGTTGCAGCTTTGTACTGATTTCTTAAGTAAACAAAGAGGATCCCATGTGGACAGTGTTGGAATCTTTTCAACAAAAATTGTGTGAGAATATGGACATTGTATCCTTTTATGTTTGACTTCAGCAGCAGGATCATTGAAGTCATTTTTCCAAAAATATTAGCAGGCTATCACTTTTTCCAAAGTTCTGTCTTAATCTTTTGATCACTCTCTGAAAACTCCCATGTGGTTTTCTTCTTTAATCCTTAACTAGATTATTTACCATTGGCCTTGAGTAGAATCCTCTTTGAGTAATGTGATTATCATGGACTTCATTATAGTATGCATCAGTTCCTGATTTGCCATTCTAGTTTTCAGTGTATTTTCATGGTATAGTTACTATACCATCTGCTGTTCCAACAGTTTACAAGAGGTTGTTCTAAGGATTCACAAAACAGTATATATACTAGGTGCTCAGTTAATTATAAAAGGCTCCCCCTAGATTTGACATTATTTTGCATACTTTGTCTATATCCATATCAGTTCATAAATGAATATTTTCATTTTTTGGCTTTCATGCTTCCTTATAAAATATACTGCTAAGCTTATCACTTGGAGTCTTTGAGAAAAGAGAGCCCCTGGGTAAAAATGGTTGTAGGGTTAGGGTGGCAGGTATTTCTGGAAGCTGATATTATCATCAGGAGTGAGCTGACAGAGAGCTGAGTCATACATTATTTGGCAAATGGGTTAAAGAAGTCAGTTGCACTTGAGGCACAGCTGAGACTGCACTCATTAGAGCAGTAATGTAAGGGATTCAGGAGGGGAGAGACTGAAGAGTAGAGCTGCTGAGGTGGTGGAGATGGTGAGGTAGGTTATATCTTTGAGATATGTGATTTTGGTGGTCTCTTTGATTGTCACAGGAAAATAACCCAGACAACCAAACTGTACCCATTGGCACTTTTTAAAATTCCTTTTTTAAGTCTTTGATATCTATTGAGAATTCAGCACTCTTAACAGGGTTGATATTTTGGCATTAGTGAAGGTTTGATGAGGAAGTCTTGGAGAGGAGGAGGAGAGAAGTTGTGACAACTAAAAGGAAGAGAAAGCCCAGCATGAAGTACAGACCCAAGACAATCAGTGAGTGGGTTTGAGATTTAAGTAGTTCATATTTCTGTATGCTCAGGTGCATGCTCTCAACATGCCTCTCCTATGGCCTTATAGTCAGCCCCTCCACAGCACAGGTCTCAGTTACAACTTCCCTTTCTGCTGCTCTTAGTTCCCATCCTGATGCTCCTCTGCTTCCTCTCCTGTTCTCCATGTGCCCCCAGCTCTCCCAATCTTCCCTTTCTTTCTGGTTGCCTCCAGCTCTTCATGTCTTCTACTATAGACTCTTCTCTTTGTCTCATAGGTGTTCAACATTTGAAGACATAAAGTTTTGCCTTGACTTTTATTTACTTTAGTTTTCTTCCATGTATGTATAGGTATTCTTTTCTTAATTTTAAAAAATTTTATTTAATTATGCATATAAGAACTGGGGTACAGGCCACAGGTGTTTGTGGGGTGAGAGGTTTCACCAGCAACAGAACGGGAAGCAGAACAGGCAGATTTACTGAAATACACTGCTGAGGAGAACAGCGGGCAAGATAGGAGAGGTCTGCTGCGCCATGTGGATCAGTTCCCTGGCTGGGGATCAAACACACACTGCAGTGACTGTGGATAGCTTCATGGTGCTGCTCTTAAACCCATTGTGCCATCAGGGAGGGCCCAAGTATAGTCATTTCTGAGTAAATTTCTTGGGACATTAAAAAAAAACCCAAAAAACCTTTTATGTCATTATGCTAAAATTGATATAAAATTCATCCTGTATAAACCTTACTAAGGTGTACAGTTCAGAAGCATTTAGTACATTCACACTGTTGTATATCACTTACCCATCATCTGATTCCAGCACATTCTTGTCACCCCAAAAGGAAGCACCCTGTCATTCCCCAGTTCCCTCTTTCCTCATCCCCTTCATCTACTTATATGCTTCCTGTTTCTGTGTTTATTCTGGATATTTCATATCAGTGGAATCATATAGCATATGACCTTCTATGTCTGATTTCTTTATTTAGTAAAGTTTTGGTACAGTTACAAAGTATTTGACTTGAACACTATCTGTGCTCCCCCAATTAGTAAATAACAGGAAGCTCTCTCCACTATAAATCTCTTAAATGAGGGGCTAGGTAAAAAATACGATGGACTGTTATAAAATAAAATAAAATAAAATAAAAAACAAAAAGTTAAAAAAAAAAAAACCAATGGAATACTGTGGAAAGGATCAGTAGTGTGATAGACGTTACTTGACCTGGGATTTCAGGAAGTTGATCTGAGACAGGCTATTTGCCCTTTTGTAGAGGGCAGAGGTGATGGAGCTGTTTGCATGGCTGTGTATTACCCTCAGCTCATCCTCTGTCTAGTTGGAAGTCTGTACTATAAGCTGCTCTTCATTTAATCGACATCCTAGAGTGGACTTAGTTCTTGCAGGGCAGCTGGAGGGAAAGTTGTGCTGTCCACTGCACTATGCTGTCTATCTCATTGATTCTTTGGGCACATTCTTCAAGCCTGAGTACTCTTGTAAGACAGAAATTGGATATCCTAGAGTTGTCTGTCTTATGTGGCAAAATTTCCAGGGAGTGAGTTATCCTTCACCTGCTATAAAGAGAGCCAGTGGCCACCTCCTATAGCACCCTGTGCTCACTTGTCTCACGGCCTCATGCAACCCCTTTCCCTGTTGCTTCATTGACTTATTAAGGTATCTTCTCTCTGGGTTTCACCGTTGCCCTCCATTCATCCATGCCTCCGAAGTCCAGGCATACTTCTTCCAGAAAGTGCAAAACTCATCTACATAAAATAAGTATAAAATATGTATTCAGTTGGCTAGTGTTCTGCCATTGTCTCATTTTTGTGCCCATCTCTTCCTTTCCTTGTCTAAACTGTAATCCTTCGTACTGAGCAGTGGTCTCCTTCTCCCCTAGTAAACCCTTAGCTCCTCCTCCATGGACTTGGAATGGCTGCCTATCCCTTACCCCCTTTTCCCTGTTCCATTTAATTCTTCCTCCCAAGCTCTGCTTCAAGGCTCAGCAGCTGCACAAAGCCTCCCCAAACATTCTAGCAACTCTTGCCTGCACGAAATTCATTGCTGTCTGATACCATAGAATTTAGAACTGACAGTATTTTTCCCTAAGGATTTTATCACTTAATCGTTTCTTCCCAATCAGAGACCAGTTCTTGGAGAAAGGGACAATAAAGTCAAAGGAAATGGAGTGGGAAAGCACTGGACTGTGAATTCAAGGGCCAGGTCATTTCTGGTCTAGCTCTTTGCTTACTGTTGTCATAGAAAAGCTACTTATCCTGAAATCCCATCTGTAAAATGAGTGGGGGATAAGATAGTGTGTTAGTTTGCTGTTTGCTGCTATAACAAGTTATTACAAACTTAGCAACTTAAAGAAATAAAAATTCATTTTTTCACAGTTCTGGATATCACCAGGGCTACATTCCTTGTGGAGTCATTAGGGAGAATCCTTGTCTTTTTACCAGCTGCTAGAAGGCTGTCTGCACTCCATGGCTCATTGTTCCCTCCTCTCGGCTTCCAGCATCACTTCTCTCTGCTTCCGGATGCCCCTTTTTCTTTATAAAGACCCCTGATTAGATTGGGCCCACCCAGCTAGTCCAGGATAACCTCTGTACCATAGAGTTGACTGTACCTGCAAAGTCTTATGCTACATAATGTAGTATTCTGGGGAAAAAATATATTAGTTTTGGGAGCCATTATTTTGTGGACTCAGATCTCTTGTATCTCTAACAACCCATGAATCTTCCACTTATTTAAGGATCTTAGTTCTGTGGTAGGTTCATTAATTTCTTTATATCATGTTTATCCCCATATTGACTATTACGAATTCTGAGACCCGATATAACTCAAAGAGAGAACTGACCAAAACCTAGGATTGTTTGGTCGTCAAGCTTCTACTACTGTACTTTCACTAGCAAAATACTGACAGTGCTCCTTCTAACTCTTTGATTTTGTGCTTTATAAATTTGGTGAAGGGGAAGAGAACCTCAGGGGATTTTGTCTGTTTCCCAATAACCTTCCCCAGAGATGGCCTTTAAAAAGTCTATTAGTTATATTGGTGATTCTACATACATCTAATGGTCTCATTAAATTCCTGAATGTGTTTCTAAGTACTCTTACATAATCAGAAGTTGAAGTGTCCTTAAGGTCCAGAAACCAAGTAGTCTTGGATATTAACTAGCTAGTTTCATCTATAATTGCTACTTAATGTTATAATATTTCACAGCAATTTAGATTGGCATTTATATGAGGCTTATGCTATTTTTCTTTCTCTACATTAGGTATATACACCTTGGGTGACTGCTGAATACAAAGCAGTGAGAAGGCACCCACAAAATTAACCTCCCAACCTGTTTAATTTTACATGTTGAGGTTACTTTTGAATGTTAAGTTTGACAAATACAAAGGTGAGTCAAGCAGATCTTCTGCCTGTGTATTGAAGTTTTCTTTCATTTTGTTTCCTAGATGCACCCACTGGGCCTGTGTAATAACAATGATGAAGAGGACTTGTATGAATATGGCTGGGTAGGAGTGGTGAAGCTGGAACAGCCAGAATTGGACCCCAAGCCATGTCTCACTGTCCTGGGCAAGGTAAGTGCCAGGCCCTCTGAATCACTCTGATTCTAATTTCTCTCCTCCACATTTCTATTTTCTCAGTTCCTCAGATAGTTGGCTACAGAGGATAGCCATGCTGGTACAGCACTCTTTCCAAGCTGGAGGCATTGAGTGAGGACTAAAGATAATGTCTGACACACCTACACCCTTATGCTTATTGCTGCTTTATTTACAATAGGAAAGACATGGAATCAACCCAAGTGCCCAAAAGTAGACAACTGGATTAAAAAGATGTGGTACATATACACAATGGAATATTACTCAGCAATCAAAAAAGATAAACTCATGCCTTTTGCTGTAACATGGATGGAGCTGGAAGGGATCATGCTTGAAATTAGCCAGAAAGAAAAAGAAAAATATTGGATGGTTTCATTCATAGCAGGAGCATAAAGAACCAGGGGGGAGAAAATAATAACAATGAACAACTATATACCAGAGACATTTTACGGGGGTGGAGTGGGGAATGGAATCAAAAACAGGGGGGCCGGGAGAAGTGCAGTGGGCAATGGTGATGACACATGGGTGATTTGGAGATGGGAAGCCCATGGGGATTACAACTGAGATGGAAAAAGGCACAAAATTATGTAAAAATACAATATTATATTATTTTTAAAAAAGATACTGTCTTATAGCAGCTCCTTAGTACTTATAACCTCACTCTCTAGTAGAATCCACTTCTTGTCCACTGTGTGGACTTGGACAAGTTTTTGCCCTCAAGGAGCCTCAGTATCTTTTCTGTGAAATTCATAATACCTTATGTTATACCTTGGGGCTAGATGTTTCACCAGTCTAAGATTTAGGGGTTTAAAAGGTATTAAGATATACATACTTTGTATTAAGGCACCCTCCAGGATATCTGAGGCAGTATTCTGTAATCAAATGCAATTCATGTTTGTGTAATAAATTATATGAATAGTTACATAAAGTGGGATTATGCTAAAATCTAAATATCCTAGTGTTATTTAGTTTAACTAGAGTTAGTTCAGGGCAGCTTTACCTCCATAATTCAAGTCTGTTGAGTTTTATTGCCAAATAAATAATAGAAAAATTTCAGGTTTTAGAACTTTTTTGGTTTCAGAATGTCAGGTAGCAATTCAGAATGTCAGGTCCTTTATGTACTTATTTATTTATTTATTTAAAAGATTTATTTATAGGGTGTGGGCCAGAGTTACTGAAGGTGGAGGTAGATTAGAGGATTCACCAGAGACAGAGTGGGGAGAACAGGCAAATTGACTGAAATACACTGTTGAGGGGAGCAGCGGATGAGACAGGAGAGGTCTGCTGTACCATGTGGGTCAGCTCCCTGACAGGGGAGTTGAATTCATGCTGCAGTGGCTGCGGATTGCTTCATAGTGCTGAGATTTAATTCCTTGTGCCACCAGGGAGGCCCCTACAGTGTTTTATTAGGACTTAGTTCATAGTATTGTTAGAGGTGAGATGAGATGTAAACTCTCACAAAGTGTCTGCTATTGGAGGTTGTCATTCATCTTTAAGTACTAAAAAAAAAAGACTTTTTAAAGTCAGGATTGTCAGTATTACCTCTGACTGCAGTTTAAGATAGAAAAACATTTCTTACATGGAAAACCATCCATCAATGACCTTAAAATATAAGGTCACCTCATATACAATAGGTTGTCACCTATTTTAAACTGTGTCATTTTGTTAAAGGGAAAGCTTTGGAGAAAGTTATTAGAATTTTGGTATTTCCTGAAAGTATAACTGACTGGATAGTTTTCCCATATCAGAGACTGCTGTTTTAGGTGTAATGAAGAGATAGCTGCAGGGGGATTCCTGATGTGAGGATTTCTTAGGAGATTCAGGCTAGAGAAGAGGAGGTTAAATAGGGATTTGAAGATGTCTTAACTGGTGTCTCTTGAAAGACTTTTGGCCCAGGAAACCCTCAGAGGTCTTATCTGAGGATAAGATAATTTTTGCTTCCTTCTTGTCTTTTGAATAGCTTTTGTTCACTAGTTAGGTTCTCCTTCACTGGGTTGTGGGGTTCCCTGAAGTAACTATTACCTGTTTAGTTTATAGTTCACAAAGTTGAATCAAGGTGTTTTAGGTGGCCTAGGTCCTGATAGTTCATTGTTTAAATAGTTGGACAAAGCTGCTTAATGATGCTGGAAGAGCAGTACCTCCCTTGAGAGTATTTTAGTGTTTTCTTAGGAAAACTGCCAACTATATCCAAAGGTTAAGAAAAGTGCTTTCCTTGTAGGCATTATGCTCCTAATATAATATTTTCTCCTGTACTTAAACTACTGCTATGCAGGGCTCAGAAGCTTGTTTTAATTTACTTTACTCAAGTCAGTGGGACTCTGCCTTTGCATCTGTCTAAATGGGTTGGAACAGGGCTCCCAGGGACACCCCATTGCTCTATCATGGCTTAGTCTGGAAGCCCCCAGAAAGTCCAGTTGTTTACTCCTACATCTGGAACAGCCTAGTAGAAGTTTTACTTAGAGAGCTGTGTATGGTTTGCCTCCTGGCTTGTGCAGCCAGAGGGAATAAAAACCCAAGATATGTATGGAATCATTAAATACTTATTGGGTTTATTCATTCACCAAATATCTATTGAATGTAGGGACCAACATTTAGTGTTTGGTTCCACCTACTCTCCTGCCCTTGTACCCACTACCTCCAACCCTCCGCCCCCATGTTTCTGTTTGAAAGGGTTGTGTGGTAGCCAGGCAGTATTTACACATGGTAAGTTATGAAATATGGCTTAGCACATGAATAAACTCGCTAGCAAAAATGCTTGAATTAGACAAAGCAAGATTTTCATAGGTTGTTTAGAACTTGGGTTAGGGCTCTTCCTGTTGGTGCACTGGGTTAAAGCTCAGCACTGCAAGCTAGACACAGCCATTTCAGTGCTTGTTCAATCCCTCCTCTAGAGGTGATCCACGTGGCACAGCAGACCTTTCCTGATCTGCCCTCTGCTCCCCTCAGCAGTATACTTTGTCAGTCAGCTTATTCTGCTCCCTACTTTGTCTCTGGTGAATCTGCTCACTACTCCTGCACCTCTGGCCTGCACCCCAGTTCTGTATGCATAAATAAATAAATCTTAAAAAAAAAAAGATCTTGAGTTGGTTCAGGAGTGGGGTGCTCAGGCATCTCTCTTCCTCCTGTCCTCTTTTCCTGTCTCCCGCTCTTTTTTAATCTCATCTTCCTGAGGTGTAGTTGTTCTTAATTTAAATTTTACTGATATTACTTTTTTTTTTTTTT